TCAGGCCACTATCATATATTTTCTTGAAACCAAGAAAATACCTACATATATTTTTCAACTGAAGCAAGCAGATAAATAAGATTTGTAAGGAAAGTTTCTCCTGTACATAACTCAAGAGAGTATGTACGCTTAAAAGGATATTTATGGAGTACATGAAAGAAAGCTATAAGAAAGAACCTGATAGCTATAATTTAATTTTTACTGTCATAATTTGGAATCAGTAATTCAATAGCAGATGTAAAAAATGAAATAAGAAAAAAATGAAGTGCCACCAGACTGACTAATCAGTCATTAAAAATGTCTGTACTGGGAATTTACTTGTATAGAAAATGTTTTCACTGTCATAAAATACTCCTTAATTTATATTAGTGGACTAATATAATGACAGGCACAAAAATACACCCTCAGCCTGAGGCTATTCAGTAGACAAGCATTGCTAACCATTTGTAGTGCTTAAATATTTTGGAGCACCAGGAACTGTAAGCAACAATGAATGTCACCCCTCATTTTTCTTTTTAGGTAGGCTAGGAGCTATATAAATATTCATTACTGGTTTAGACTGTGGTGTGTGTGTGTGTGTGTGTGTCTGTTGTACATGTGTCCATGAAGAGGATGACTTTTGGGAGTAGGCTTCCTATTTCCACCTTGATGGAGGCAGTCTCCCATTTCTGTTACTCTTCTGCCTTCTTCAGGCTTACCATACTTGCAAACTTCTGGCTTATATTGTGTGCAAACTTCTGGATGATCTCCTGTCTTGCCATGGATATTGTGGGGATTACAATCTGATCTGGGATTCCTGCTTTCTCACCTGGCTTTTTATGTGGCTTGGAGTAATTGAACTCAGCTTGTCAGGCATGTGTGGCAAACATTTTACCCACTTAGCTATCTGATTGACTCCAGCTCTTAATTTTTAACATTACAGCTTGTGTTCCTGGCAAGTAATCCAGAAGATAAGTCCGTGATCATTCTTTTTTTCAACACTTTTGGATCTCTTCGACATCTTTATAAAACTCTAGGATGACAAAATAACTTTTAAATGTCCCCAGGGACTATTGTAGTACATGGTTTAGTTTCCAAAGATATTCTTTAAATTTTAACTTCCCTATATTTGTAACAAATTGATTATTCCTTGATGTAATTATCACTGTTGCTTCCCAGATCTAAAACCCATGTACCTTGTGAAGTCTATGTACCAGAAGCACAGATTAAGTTTAGTTCCCTTGATTAGAAAGCATACTAATAATAAATTCAATCAAAGCACAGTAGGATTAAGAGGTAAGGGAGGTGCCTCATTTTCTTAGTTTCGGGTGATTCTATCTCAATCTTAGTATCATGTGTACAGTAGAAGTTTTGTCCTTGGATGTGGGCTATGGAAAGGAGGAAAATGGAATATAAAAGGAATTTAATACCATATGAAAAATAGTTGAAGTAACAACTTATAGCTTGACTAAACTGAGAAGATGCAACCAATAATTTTCCTCCAAAATCAAGAGTTGATTTGATTACTGTTTCTGCAAAAAAGTTTTAAGACTAATGGATAAGACTTTAAGTATGAGGATTTTGTTCATTTATTTAAAATTAATGATATACATTGTCAAAAATATCCCAAACTAACCAAGTCACTTAGGTTATAAGGACTACTGTGTTCTGAATCCTAGTATGTGTACACCCTAGATTTTCTAAGTAACATTTTGGTAACATACATGCACACCAAACTCCAAACCCAGACCAAAGCAGTTTACTAATGCAGGTTGCTGAAATGGGTTTTCCCTAAAGTCAACTCTTCTAAGATACTTTTGTTTGCTTTGGAGGTAAAGAGAACAACTATATCATTTGTAAAACCCAAGGTGAAAATGGCATCGTGACCTGGAACTGAAAAATTATTTTCCAAAATAGTAACATGAAAACATTAAACAAATCCAGTGCTCTTTTAAGCATGGGTCCCCCAAGTGATGCTGTAAGTCTCATGCTCATGAAATGAGTGATGGAAAGATGTTGAAACACCAGAAAATGATCTGTAATTATTATAAGGCTATGACCAATTCGGTAACTTAATACTGTACTATTTCCTTTTTTCCTTTTATTCTTCATGCCTGTCTATCAATAAAATACTAATAAGCAAACTGTATCATAAGCTCTTTCCCAGTGGCTTCGACATTATAAAAGACCTTTTTCTGACTTCCATTTAATATCATTTCTAAGTGGAAGTCAAAATGATTTTCCCCAATATAAATAAAAATATGTAATGCTACAAATGTTTGCATTAGCATCTAAGGTAGAATTGCCAGGTTATTTTGTTTCAAGTATTTTACCTTTATGTTCAGTTACAATATTAATAATTCATTACAAATGTAGTACAGAGGAACTAATAAATGTTTCTATTACTTTTCTTCCTTCACCATTTTCCATAACTTCACATTGTCTATATTTAGTCCTCCATCCTTCTATCTTATGTGTGATTATAGGCAGGTTTCAATTCTGCACTTTTTTAATAGTTGCATATTAGTTGATATACCAACTGTCAACTTAGTTATATAAATGGGCATAAAAGCATGGATAATATAATTAATACATTTGTTTTGCAAGGCATGGGAACCTTCAGAAATAAAGAGCTGTGTAGAAGTGTCATGTGGACAATCTAATACTAATAAAATGACATGGGCACTACATCAAGACTTTCAAAGAATACGATATGCTATTTGTGTAGCAATCCTTTCTCCTACATATGAAGCAACACTCTTCTCAAATGAAAGTCTTCAAGATAAAAGAGAGGAACCTTTCTAAATACTATGACGTGTTCTGAGGAAGAAGATTTCTTCTTTCTATGAGTTAGCTGCATTAGAAAGTGGAAAGTTAGATTCAGTAACTGAAGATGTCAGAATAGGAGATCAAAGACTGGTTGTTTCTGAGGCCAAAGTGATCAGCATTCCAGCAATGTTAGTTCTGAACCCAGCCACAGCTCAAGATTTAGTAAAATTATAAGACAAATTAAGGAGCAGTATAGGTGACAGTGAAATCTTAGAGACTTTAGAGAACAAATCTGGATAAATTTATGTAGAAATGAAAATCTGACATGTGACATTGGTAAGGGCACTTCTGAAAATATTTGTTTACTAAAAATTCAGTAAGAAAACATAGGTTAATAAAAATTTGCAAATTTATGCTGGTTTTCTATTACATGGAAGCTTTCTTAAGAAAATAGCCCAAACCTCAGCATTGGCTTTTACCTGATTTGGTGAAGAATGAAGAATTTTAAGAAATGTGAAAGGAAGAAGGAAAATCTATGTTCATAGTAGTACATTGGGAGTGGAGGCCTGTATTGCCTCCCTCTCTTCTTCACAGATCAGGATACTCCTGCTCTGCTTTCAAAGAGGATACCTGTCACTACCATAATTTAGACTGTTATATCTACACACACACACACACACACACACACACACACACACACACACACACCATGCTCTTGTAACCCAAGTGAATCAACAACCAGTTAATTTTACATCCTTTGTGTTTCCAGTTATCACTTAGGATGGGAAAAGAGAAATATTTTGAATAGTTGGGAAGACTACAGAGAAAGAAAACAAATGATAAAGATTCGGTTTTAAAATCAGAGCGATTTCCTTCAAAGTAAACTCATTATTTGTGAGTAGTGATTGCTGCAGCATTAGCAAAGTTTTGGTAATACAGAACAGTTCTCCAACTTCTCCAATAAAGAATATATTCCAGCTTGTCAGATCTAAACAAATGGAACTATATTGGACAGGACCGTTTATACTGACAGATTAATAGAAAAAGTAATCTTCAGTGTTCGTATTTGATTTTCAGTCACTTAAACTTCCAGGTATATTAAGTTGATTTCTCCTTGTTGAATTATAAAGGTAAGCTTGTCAGGGTGGCGAATTTGGATCAGAATAATCTGACTGAAATTTGCCAGAGGGTTGATTTAGTCAGTCTCTTAAATTTTTCATTGTGATGCTGATATGTCACTAAAACAGATAAAATTTTACTGAAATAGAATCTGTGTTTTTCTATTTGTGTTTCATAGTCTTTAATGAAAACAGTGTTTCAGAAATATTGATTTAAAAACCAGTGTCATAGGCTATGTATCAAGTTGTAACCCTTCCCTTTTCTCCTCAACTAGAATTTCATCTCATTCTGTTGGTATTGATAGAAGTGTCTGTGTATGCAAATCAAAGTCCTATGTAGTAGAAAATAGTTATAAGGTTTTTCTTTCTTGCTTTTCAATGTACTCTAGAAATGACAGCACCATGAGAGATCCTGAAAGTGTATGTGTATTTAGGAGCAGTTTGACCGCAATAATTCAAATTATTAGTTGTCAATGAGAGAAAAGGAGAAAAGCAGAGAATATTAGGGGTAATTAAACAACTAATGATAGTTTGTGAGGGCATGCTGAAGCTTTATGTGTATGTATGTGTATGTGCATATATATTCACTAGGGTTTGCTCTAAACTCACCATCTGGAGCAACAGTTATTTTACATGTCTCTATTAAGTATGGAATCTTAAAGGTGGGAATTTGTACCACAAGTGTTGGTTGATAAAACTCAGGGTTTTCCAAAGAAGCAAACATTTTACCCTTTAAATAATTTAACCTCCCATCATTTATATAACCAAGGATGTGCATTAATAATATAAGATCTCTTTGAACCTTAGTTTCTCTTTAATCTTCAATTTAGATTTTAAAGAATGAAATATTAGGTGTTCCATCAATAAATGTAAATAGGAATGGGTTCATCTAACTAATGGCTGAGTAAAATAGTGGCATTCCAATATTAAATATGATGATTTGGTATATTACATTACACATTTTCATTTACTTCGTAGAGAGTAGAATTTTTATGAGCTATAATTGAGACAAATGTGAAAATGACTTCATGGAACAATTCTCCACATTTAAAAAAATCACTCAGCAGATACTGTTTTTGGTTGTTGTGAAATACCTAGTAAAAGGTTCTAAACACTTTGCACATTGTTCTTTAGTTTCAGCTCAAACTCTCAAGAGCAACCTTGCAGCAATGGAACAAAACATTCTTCATCTGGAGCGTGACATCAAGAATTTCCCCAAAGCAGAAAGTCACCATGATAAGTTTGTGGAAAAGATGATGATATCCTTTATTTAAGCATTTGTTTATGTGTTTGTCTGTGTAACTATCTGTTCATCTATTCTAGACTCACCAGCCTACACCATTGATGAATTTGCGCATAAGGTGCTTTTATATTAGCAGCATAAATTTCAATTCACAAGGTTTGAACCTGATAGAGTAAGCGAGGGAACAATTAGATCGGAAAAGTTGCAATTTCTCAAAGAAATTTTATTTGAACGCCCACAAGATATGCAAGGTGAGTCTTAGGAGGTCTGATTATACCTGAAAGAACAAAGCAAACAATCCTCTTTTGTAACCAAATGCTTAAGGATAGAATCAATATAAGAAAATGATTTTGGGAGGAAGGATTATAATTTTCTTTCTTTGGGTATATTCACATGTATTTTCTCAGGGTATAAATGCATTTTGAGAAGCAATGAGAAACTGTGTAGTGAATGGAAAGAGAAACAAACTGGTAAGTAGCTGATGTATTTACGTCAACTGTAACATAAGTATAAAGAAAAAGTAAGTATTTCTTGCTACATAAGCATTTAGGAAACTTATTTTAAATACAGTATACTGATAAATTACACACACTTGCATATACACACACGTATATATTTGAGTGTGTGTATGCATGCATTTGAAAGGAGAATGTGAGAAACTGACTTTAGATTGAATTGTGTTAATGGTCAAGCTGTTGTTTGAAGATAAACTACATTCAGCGCTGATTTTTTTTTCTATTCTGGGGTTATTGGAAATAAAAACCATATCCTCCTCCTCTGGGTTTGAATAAGTATCTTGAACTGCAGATTGATTCACTATTTTATATCTCTAGAGGGAATAAATACTGCAATTTCTTTATCAGATAATAAGTAAATTCCTTCAACAACTGTATGGAAGTCACCTTCTTTCAAGGTTAAGCCTATTGCCTTTTTCTCCTCTCCTGTGTTTCTTTCCTACCCAACTTAGATGTTATGGCACTGAACCTAAGAATTACTTAAGATGGGTACTTGGCATTTATATAAAAAATAGCTTCTACTCTTATGTTTTCCCCTCATAAAATAATTCTGTGTGGTACTTTAGTGATGCTACATTTGTAATCAGGAATATTGGATGAACAAGTTTGTGAGGCATTGCAAGCAGGCAGTCTTTGTCTAGCCTTGGATTCTATAAGGGGACAAATTGGGATACTTAATATGAACCTTTCACTTCATTGGTGACGTAACTTATTTTTTTCACCTTTTCATGTTGACTCTTGTCTCATATTTGTTAAAGTTAATTTGTGATCCCCTTTTTCTGTGGAGTATTTTCTTTTACAGTTGGCTTATGGCCATACGACAGCTTGCAACGTTGAGTCTTTGTTGCTCATGTTGAAAAAAAAGAGAGAAAAAAACTAATTTCAAATTCTCATGAACTTGGCCTGCTCTCCCTATTTTATTTCTCTTTTTTGCAGGTAATTAGTCAATTTAATATGAAAATCCAGAGCCTTCTGTATCTATGTTACTGATGAACAACTATTGTTCATTTAAATGGTACCAAAGTGTGACTGTTTGCCTACAAGGGGATTAGAAAGTATCGAAATGTATAGAATTGTTACTTTGCAGTTCATACCAAGAAAAATATGACAATTCATTATAGAAAAATAGAATATTAGTCTGTTAAAACTATAAATTAATAAATTATAGTAATGAAATTATTGCTTAAATTAGTCTTGTTCTGAAAATCTTCAGGAATTCTCAATGAGAATTTCCCTCTGCTACAAAGGCAAAGTGATATGCGAAATGATCACATGTGTGCTTTGTTTTGGGTATTTTAGTACCTTTTGGGCTAGTGAACAAAGAGATGGAAAACATGGATGACCTGGGAGATTAGAACCAAACTTGGGTTCTGTGGAAGAACATTCAGTTCTCTTAGTCAATGAGCCATATTTCTGGCCTCTGGATGAATACCATGTTCCCATATGTCATACAGGACTCTAGATGCTTCTGTCATCTGCCAATAGTTTTTTCACATTACTGACCCTTTAAATTAAGTAAATATGGCAGTATTTTACCTAACCAACTATAATCTGTAAATATGGCAGTACTTTACCTAACCAACTATAATCTGTCTGTAACAACTTTAGAGTTTAAAAACTGGACAAGAACTGCACTCCCATGTCTGTAACCTCTATAAATAGCAAGAGCTCTATGGGTAACAGCAATGGCATGAGGGTTACTGATCATATGAAATGAATCTTCACTAGATGACCAGGTCAGACTGTTTCCAACAGTTTTCATGCATACCCTTACTATTGCACAACATTAATTCAATCCTAATTATACCTAGACATTGTCAGGCCATTACAATACTACAGAGCACACAATATAAAATGCAATCTGCTGGCAGCTTGGCATTTACATACTCTATTTATACTGTTCTTTGGCAGGGATTATATCAGATTTGTTAACCTCTATACCTATCAAATATCTATCACCTAGCACAATGTAGACTCTCAGTAAATATGTATAAAGTCATTGGGAATTAGGTGATCCAGGCCCCTTCTTTGACTTTCCTCAACTAGAAGACTATTGTTAAGAAATAGTAAGCTTTCGTTATAATTATTTCTGAAGGATTATCCATATAAACCTTATAAAATATTTAAGTAACATTGAATCACTGTTTTAGGTCTTGCATTTTTAACAAAGATGATCAATTTAGAAGTTATGATCCATACATTCTAAAGTAAATGTTTTGTTTTTTTTTAAGGTAGAAAAATAGATAGTCCTCAAGGTACCAGTATGGTGATACAAGCTTGAAATCTCAGTGGTTTTAAGATAGTTGCAGGAAGATGACCATAAATTCCAGTCCAACCTGAGCTACATCATGATACATTGTCTTTAAAAATTAAAAGGAATGTTCTCCTGTGAATGTAGTCGCCCTACTTCTAATTTCTTGATGCCAACAGCTTTATAACAAAGTATGCCACTTTTGTTTCTCCGTTTCTGTATAAATTGTTTCTTATTTATGATTCAGAATAAAATAGTGTAGGGAAGAAAAAATGTCTCTTACAGTCCCATTTCAGGATGCATGGCTTAACAGGCCTATAAAAAGACAGATTAAGAGAGGAGCTATAATGTTAATGAATGTGTTGCCCGCTATAGGAGAAGTCCTCAAAAAGAAAAGGCAGGGAGGACAGTTTTTTTATGGATTTTTAAATAGAAATCCAAATTGAAGACAAAAGGATATGATCCAACTGTAATAAATTAGAGGAATGAGAGATGATTTAGCAAGATGTTTGTTCAGATACTTCTTGGGTTCTCCACATGACATTCCTTACCTCTCTGAGTAGAGGGCAAGGCATATGCCACATGACTGAGGACTACAGAAGACAAGAAGAATGATCTTTGTAGCTTCTTTATGGCCTGCTCCTGAGATGAAGAGTTAGGCAATTATACTTTTTGTGACCTACTTCAGAAGGTTCTGCCTTCTGAGTTTACCTCAGTCTCCTTCAGTTTATAACACTCATTATTCCTCCTGCTATGGCCTGAATATCTGTGTGCCATCCATAGTTTTTGTTGACACATGATCTACTGTGTAACAGTATAAAGCAGTGGTGTCTTTTGGAAGTGATTAGATCTAAGAATAAGAACTCTTCTTTGATGTGTGAAATTTGTTCCTTATAAAAACACTAGAGAACAACTAGATATCAGATCCTTACACACACACCTACACACACACACACACACACACAAGCCAATTTGCTCTTTTGGGCCTCTGCCATAGGAAGACACAACAGTAAGGCACAAACCATTACCACTAGACATGAACTTCCTGGTGCCTTCATCCTGAATTCTTAGCCTCCAGAGCTATGAGAAATTTCTATTACTCAATCTCAGATATTTTCACATAGAAGACATAAATAACCTTAAGGAACCACATGTGGAGGTAAAATTTTCTACATCCCAAAAATGAGAGGAACCAAACAAATAAAATTAATTTTATAGGATTATAAAACAAAGAGCCAGGCATGGCATTCATATCTGTAATCCTGCCACTTAGATGGTGGAGGAGGAGGATCTGAAGATCAAGGCCAGCCTAAGCTGCATGAGTCTCCCAACAAGAAAAATAAGTAGATTCAGCATACTCATTTTTATATAACCATAAAATTGAAAGATCATAGTTAGGAAAATATTTGTTCTTCAATGCTAACATGCTCATCACAACCCTAGTCTTGGAATTTTGTTGTTGGTGATGTTTGTTTTCTTGAGATAATTGGTGATGTAGCTCTCATGCTGTGTGAATATTATGCAAGTCCTATCAAGCTGCACATCTAGTCCTGAGACTGAAAAGAAATAGCTTGCTAGGATTTTATTTAGATCTCTCTTTTTTAAATCATTGAATAGTGGAATTTTGTTTTGGTTTGTTTATTTGTTTGGTTGGTTGCTTTTGAGGTTTTTGTTGTTGTTGATTTTTTTTGCTGTTTTTTTTATTGGAAAACAGTTCTTTCATCCAATATATTCTGATTAGTCCTTTCCCTTCCCCCAACTCTTCCCATGCCCTCTCTACCTCCCTAACCAACCAAATCCATACCATTTCTCTTTCTTTCTTCAAATAACAAACAATAAACACAAACATGCTCACAGCACACACACAAATCCACTAAATTGAAAACCAAATTGTACAAGCAAAAGACCAGTGAGACAAAAAAATGCTGAAACAAAGCAAAAATGAGACAAAAGGGCTATAAAAATACCTTTGAGTTTGTTATATGTTGGCCATCTAGTTCTGGGTATAGGAGGGATCCTGAAGTGGGGTTAATATACCCAATAAATGCCATTGGTGAAAATGAATTTTCCTCTACATGCAGGTACCAATTAAAGACAGCTTCTTGATTGAGGACAGAAACCTTTCAATAATTAGTGTTGATAATTAACTGTCTTGATTGTTTACTATTTATCAAATGACCAGTTTTATATATTTAATATTTTTGAAGCTCCTATTTATTAAGAGAGGAATTTTCTCCTGATAATTTCAAT